GGTGTCCAGCAGATCGAGGGAGGGGATTCTGCCCCTCTACTCCGCTCTGGTGAGACCCCCCCTGCAGTACTGCCTTCAGTTCTGGGGTCCTCAGCACAAGGACATGGACCTGTTGGAGCGAGTCCAGAGGAGGCCACAAAGATGATCAGAGGGCTGGAGCACCTCTCCTGTGAAGACAGGCTTAAAGAGTTGGGGTTGTTTAGCCTGGAGAAAAGAAGGCTCTGGGGAGACCTTATTGAGGCCTTTCAAAATATAAAGGAGGCTTGTAAGAAGGATGGAGAGAGACTTTTCACCAGGGCCTGTAGTGACAGGACAAGGGGTAACAGTTTTAAACTAAAAAAGCGTAGGTTTAGATTGGACGTAAGGAAGAAATTTTTTACAATAAGGATGGTGAGGCACTGGCACAGGTTGCCCAGAGAAGCTGTGGATGCCCCATCATTGGAAGTGTTCAAGGCCAGGGTGGGGGGGGCTTTGAGCAACCAGGTCTGGTGAAAGATGTTCCTGGCCATGGCAGGGGGGTTGGACAAGATGACCTTTAGAGGTTCCTTCCAATCCGAACCATTTGACAATTTTATGATACTAATCAAAACCTTAGTGCAGAACACCAGCATGGGCAACTATGCCTAACTTCACTGCAATAAAAGCATAGTTTACATTTATGATGAATGGAAACAAGGAAAGTTATATTGAGCATAAAACAAATATACTTACCTATCTGCCTGGTCTCCTAAGGATCCTATAAATATGGCAAAAGCATTGACTTGAGCATTGGTGGTCAAGACCTGGGCAAACCTTGATGGCTGAATACCATATCGCTCAAGATTTGCATCACTCAAGACAATAACAAAATACTCGTCAGCCTCTTCCTTGGCGATTTCACGAATGGCGTGCTCCGTCCCTTCCAAGGTATGGTCTCCACTCATGCAGAACTGAGCATGGGCATGCATGATCTGTGTGCACAGCATAACCAAGTGGAAATATGTAAGATAACTTGAGAAACAAACATTCATTTCAGCTGGCACAGGAGGAAGTAAATATTCAATATTAGAGGATGTTTCAGAAATGTGGATAATGCTCCAGATACTACAGAAGATGCAGCTTTTTGTACATAATACATTATATTTTAAGACAGGCATCGCTTCTTAAAAACACAGTGGGTCAAACAATCAAAACCTACGCATGGATATAATTAGACAGGGCCTTAGGGAAGGTAAAATACTTTGATCAGCTGCAGTTTGGGTAGCTACATTCCTATGTATTTAAGGAAGAAAACACAGCTTAGTTTCCTAATACTGTGACCAGCTCCTGTCTGTTTATAATTTGCATTAGACTTCCAAACCCTAGTAGTGTCACAGTTATTGTCAAATATCTGACTTAGGACAGCGACAGCAAGGTTTAAAAATGTTGAAACACTTTGTTTGAGCTGTTATGAAATAAATACACTGTTTTCATTGATGAAGCTGTTTCCTATGCAGAAGGCAAGGAATTTTAGGCATTAGAAAATCCAGTCCTTCTAACCTATGTAGCTGCCAATCTTTTAAAAATACTTTTTGAAGGAAGCTCAAATACATAGTTCTAACCTATCAAGCTGCCAACCAGGTAAATCCTAAAATATACTCAATTTTTCTTCATCTATTACAGTAAAATCTTGGCGAATACACTCACTTTGCAACTGTGATTTAACATGTTTTCAATCTAGTATCGACGCATTTTCCCACTGCCATTGTAACACACAACTTCTTGAAGGTACCAGGCTAAATCACTGACCTGGGATCCCTCTACAGTTTAAATTAATCACATATTAATAAAACCACCATTACGTAGAGCTATCTGTTTCACTGTATAATGCTTGGAACTTCCTATATCCTTGACAGGTAGACAAAATGACACATTTATGACACCACAGTCCAGAAAAAGGCATTATCTAGCTTCTACTATTTTGGCATAATTTGTTTTCTGCCATGTCTCTAAAAAGTCCTGTTTCAATTTTATGTAAATACACAGATTTTGCTTTCTTGTCTTTAATTTATTTTACCCTCCTTATGTTTTGCATTCTGTGACACGCCTACAATTTTACCTTTGCAGTCATAAAATCCTTAATTATCCAGCAGCACTTATCGGTAGGATTTACCTTAAGAATCTCTAATCTTTGCTTATTGTTCTTGGGAACTTTGTCACTCCCAACCAAGGCGATGTCGAAGCCATCTCCTGAATGTCCAACAATATCGTACTGCAAGAAAGAAACTTCATCAGTCATCTGTTAGTCACGAATGGCCCTGGGGTCACAATGACACAAGACAGATCAAAGGCAATTTGCTTTCAACAAGAAAACCGAAATACTGTTCCCTGCTTCTGTTTATGTGCTTCTTAAGGGAGCTACTTGCAATTTCTCATCAACATGAAAACATGAGAAAAAATTGCTAAATAATGAAATTAAAGAACAGTTACTTATTTCCATCGTCTGTTTTTCACATCATCCCACCAATTGCAGAGCGGTGATGCACAAGATCAAGACCTTGCCCTCTCACATTGTCCCTGTATTTTTTTAAAGTAGCAATTTTCATCCCCTTGAGTCTGACAAACAAGAAGTGCATTGTTTGAGAGTAGTTCCCCTGTTTGATGGATCTTTTTTGTGACCTCATTCTGCTCTGAAAAAAAAGTATTACAAGCCTTCTTTTTTGAAAATCAGCACTCCTTATTTTTGTGCATAACAGATCAAAGTAATTGCTGAAAGTACGTAGAGAAGTGAATTCCAGGAGTCTCTGTACGTTTTCAAAGGAGATGGTATGCACATCATTCTCCTGTGAAAGGTGCTGCAAAAATGACACGTAGAGCTGTAATAGTTCAAATATCTTGTTGAACAAATGATGTGATGTTGGGAAGGCCTTTGTTTTATGTGAGAGTTTTATTGTCATTACATGAAAACCACAACAAGCTGAGTTATGGCAAGGTCCTGACCTGCCCTTTGTGTTGTGGATGTGGCAGTCACCCCAGGGAGAATTCATGAGCAGGACAAAAGTGGATTTAAGTGCTGTCTACACCAAGTAACAGAGGACAGTGCATGGATCCTGAGCCCAGAGAGACCCGAGCTGGCAACTCCTCAACATGAACATGCCTGTATATCCCCCTGACTAGCTGGCACAGACCCGTCTTTAGTCGACAGGGAGCCCTTGTGCAGTATTTTGTCTTTCTGTTACCTTTTATTCAAGTACTGCCTACAGCTCCCTGCTGGGTTCACTATCCCTAACTCCTACATAATCATCTGGTAAAAGGCAGGTCTATTCCTTAAAGTTTTTCTAACTTTTCTTTCCTATTAAAGACCACTTTATTTGCTATAAGTTGGGTCCTGGAGTCTGGAAAAATGGAATTCTTTATCGACAAAGCTCTTTTTATTTGTTTCTGTATCACTCATTTGCTTAAAAATATATCAAGAGTAGAAGAAAAGTACAGCAGCTGGAACAACACTTTTAAAGGTGACATCTCCCTCCACAAAACAGCAAACGTGCCACATACTATAGATTATGTCACACAAGGTCAGACCATTTTACAACAGTCTCACATAACCCAGAGTTCCTTCTCCTAGGAAATCTTTATATAATCTGGTCCCCACGCAATCCCATTTCTTTCTGCTCTGTTGGCTTTTCCCATTCCTGTTCTCCCCAGCTCTTCCGTTTCTAGTATTTGTTACCCAGCCTCATGTAAAGCTTCCAGTCTAACATATGCTTTCTCTTCAAAACCTACTTCTTATCACCAATAAAGCTTTAGACTCCCTCTTTCCTGATGAGTATTTAACTGGCCTTTCTGTCCTCCTCAAACCGTTATCCCGCCCAGAGAAAAGACATGGCAAATGAAAATACACAAATTTTGGCATAACGCTGAGGTTACATTCAGCATATTTCCGAATTAATACAGGAATAAATCCAGAATGTGAACCACACACAAAGAGAGCATGCATGCGTATTCTTTTTAAAAATAGAGATTATTCAAATCAGGGGAACTAAATAAAGCAGTGGTTTAATGGAGCAGAAAACATACAGCGCTAATGTGGTTCTTATGTAATGTCAGAAATGTCCACAGATCTTCAGGGTAGGCTCTTAATTATGAAACCCTGCACGTCCCTTGCTGAGCAGTTTTGTATTTGCTATGACTTTTAAATCAACAACCTAATTACATAAAGCAAAATGCCATCATTCTCCTGTATAAGAAGGTGGCCAATTCCTTTGTAACAAGCTCCTTCCCAGCTTTTCACGGACCTCTCCCACCAGGTGTCCTGGTATCAGCTCTGCCATGCTGAGTTCATGGGAATACGCCAAACTTTGCTATCTGGGAATTATCATTTTGGTTCTTGGCACACACTAATAACAGACCAACCTTTCATCTCAAAAAGGCTGGGTTTAAACTCAGTGTGACATCCTGTGTAAAGGGAACTGCTGTAGATGAAACACTAGAGGTTGACCCTACGGTTGGGCCCCCTCCACATTCTTGCACAAGGCAGGAACGTACAACCCCAGTACAGGCAAGGTGAGGCTGAACTCATCTGAGCAAACTATTGCAGGCATGTAAAGGTGCTCACCTGGGAACATCATGTCCTGTCTGCTCCCACCTCGGCTAGCTGCTTATTATTCTCCGTGTGTGCCCATGCATGCACCCGAGGATGTATACTTACAGTTAACAGATGTTATCTGTTTCCTTGTGTCTTTGTTGACAGTTTACTACGCTATTTGTGACTAAAAATAGTGTGGTGAGGCAGCAGGGAAGAAGTGGCTGTTTTCTTTGTCCTGGCTGCTGCATTCTGGGTCAAGTACAGCCTCCCGAAAAGCAGGGTGAGATCCTGCCTTGCTGTGGAAGAGAAGTGCTGTGGTCACCAGCCCTTGCGTGCTGGTCCTCCTGGTCCTCTGATCCCCCTGGAAGTCAAGCCAAGGACCAGGAATAGCCAAAACCTAATGAGTGGGAGGTTGCTTTTGCAGCTTAGCTCCCCAAACTGTGAGGTTGGATGAGTACTTGTGCCCCCAGAGAAGGAGGGGATGTAGGAGCATTGACTTGGATTGACTTAAGTTGACATAGGAGTGCACCCTGGGAGACGCACCCTGGGAGGGATGGATGGGAGCAGGCTCACAGCCAAGCTTCAGAGGTGACAGAAGGGAGATGTTTGCCCAGGGGAATGTGTAGAATCTACCACAATTTAGGAATACTGAGTTTGGGACAGGAGTAAAACTGGACCAAAGCAGCCCACTCTGCAAGGGCAAAGAAGGAAGATTTAAATCTCTCACCCAGGTTTTCTTTCAGTAAATTATTACTTCCTCCTGATTTGTGTTCTAGTAAAATGAACCCTTAGTGATTTGATGTTATCTTGGTGTACTCATTTTAAAGAAAAGGTGTAGACAGCTCCACAACCCTGGCCAACTGCGAAGCCCAACACACGCAGGCACATGCATGCTCTGTCAAAACCAGTTCCCTTCCTTTGCAGGAGCTAAAGATGAGCACAGAAAAGGACCTCTGAGAAGCAAGGATCTGATGCTTTTTTGTCATAAATTCCCTAGGAGAATTTATGTGGATGCAGTTACAAGTAAGAGAAGAGTTGTAATACGATCTTACTCAGAACTGACTTTTGTTTCGTTTTACAAAATAGATTGCAAGTGTAGGCTCTCAGGACAAATCCAGCAGCAAAAGACATGTTTGCTATAGTGCAGGCTTAATTGAATTAATATATTATTGTGGTACACAGTGGCTCGTTTTCTAATAGCCTCAGGTACACTAAAACAAGAACTGCTCTATTCAGAGCTATGAGTACACAATATGTAAACACTGCTCTTGAAATAGCATCATTTTCTTGGTTTCTTTCCTTAGAGGTTAAAACAATCCCTATTTCCTTTTTACATTTTGCACTGAATGGATGGTTGCTGCTGCCTAAAATGGGTAAAATGGAAGACTTTGTCTTTTGCAGCTGCCATGCCAAAAGGTTTAATTTCTGAAGGCATTTAAAAAGCTGAAAGAAGATGCATGCTGAATGTAAAAGGCAGTGTGAATTAGACAGGACTCTGCCGGAGGGCTAGATCTTTATAAATTCATCTCTTCTTTGGACAACACTGAACATTCTTTTTTTCCCGAATTTATTTCAAACCTTTTGTTCATTATTTAAAAGAAGCTATCCTGCCAAGCATGTGGAACACTTCTTTTCCTGAATTAACAGTGCTGCCTCCGTAGTAAATTTTACAAATGAGGAATGCTGAAACGGGCATATAAAATCTGCAATATCCCTTTAATATAGCTATAAATAACAATTTAGGCTTTTCCTACTAGTTACATAACATGCCATTTATTGAGCCACTCACCATATTTTAAAGCTTTCATAAAATTGCTGTTGGATAATTTACTGGACATGACTCCTAAATCTGCCATTAGATGTGCAAATGATGGTAATTAGGAATGGTATAAAACCACATGGTTTGTGTGACAGACATAATACTACCTCAGATAAACAAAGAACAAACTGCCCTTCTGTACATTGGCAAATAACTGGCAACTAAAACAAGACATACAAAAAATGTAAGAACTTTAATCCGGCAAAATAACTTGCTTATTATAACTTATATGTTAAGTGATGCATCCACACATTTAAAGGGGCCAGGGGGCCTTTGTAGGAACATATTTAACCTCCTTTATTGGGATAAGACTAAGAATGTGGCTTCTATTATCTCAGTCATTCCCACTCTTATCTTTAATAAAGCGCTTCAGAGGAAGCATGGATGAGATGACATTGGAGGACGGCTTTGAAACATGGCTGTTAATTTAAATGGATTTCCCGACTGCGGGATGAGCCTCTCAGTTCCCCCTTGACAAGGAATGATTCACTGCCTGTACTTATGGGAAATGAAAGCAAGGCAGGTTGTCCTATTCAAGCATAAAAAGCTGACAAATACCTGCTAGCACTTGTCTGACTTTTTATGAAGGATAACTTCGTTACCTGCTTGGTACAGTCACATACCTAATACTTAGCTCTTCTGTATAAGAAGGCAGGGAGAAACTATTCCCTGCCATCTTTCAGTGCTGTAAAGACCAATCAGACAATACAATCAGTAATACTAAGGGGTACCACACATGGGGAAAGCTCAGCTGATAGGATAAAACAACCAAGGAAAAGCCCATCTGATCAATTCACAACTTTATTTAGCAAAGAACTAAACCAAGCACCAGCGGAAAAGTGATTTTGAGCAAAGGCCAAGAATTGGTTTCCAAAGTTTGCACTGCAGTTAGGGAACTTGACTATGTAAATCCTCTTTGAATGTTCTGCCTAACAAGCCTGATGGTCCCCCAGGTTCAACACATGTTGTACGTGAAACCTCTCAAATTTGCAGCACATATTGTGCCCCTTGCAGATAGGGCTACAAGAGTAATAGGTAACAGCAGGCATATCTGAAGGCCAAAAAAGCCTGTTTTTATAAAACCAGGCAAGAGGAGGATAAGGAGGGGAGAGAAAAAAATGATAAACTGCAGATTTCTCATTGCACACTACACAGTTGTGTGTTCTTTTCTCTTTTTTCAAACAGTTCCTCTTTTAGAAATGAGAAGTCTATGCTATTTTTGCAGACATAAAAACATTCAGCTTTGTCCTGAGAAAAATTAGCAGCATCTTGCAAAGTGTCAGTGTTTTATAGACTGGAGTCAGTGATATTTTAAAACAACTGCTGGCTCTCTTACTCTCGGAAGACCTAACTACACTCCTTAGAAACTGAGCAACTGGCATGAGCTCTGGTTATTGATCGCATTTGTGCAGGTATAGCAACTGCCATACCAGATTATACACAAAAATTCTGTATTTTCAAGCTGGAGATTTCAGAAATCTATTTTTGTCAAAGGAATGACTCAAAGAGTCCATCAGCTCATGCACAGGGGATTCCTCATATGAGAGAACTGTGTAATGTAAGTTAAAAAGAGATACTTTAGCCTAATCATTGGATCATGTTAAGAATATGATTCAGACATGAGTAGGTAATAAACGCCTCTGTGCTCATTTTGCGGGATGACTTCAGTGGTCAATGAAACATAAGGCCACATCTCATTTGCTGTCCTAGTCATCTCTGGTCTACTCTTGTAGATATTATGCTTTGAATAAATCAAATCCCAATGAGGCAGGACAGAGAGGTGTGGAGGAAGAAAAATACTTTTCTCCCCTTGGGCAAAAGCAGCTCTGAAGTTGACAGAGTTCATGCTGGATCTGGCCAGCCTTGAATCAAGGGGCTGTTACTGCCCTCCCAAAGTTCTCTATGCCGAGGAAGGAGCCCTTAAATGGAGGAAAGTTACTCTAGAGCAGCTGAAGTTGTACAGATGTAGAAGCTGAAGACAACTTTTTTTTTCCTTGTTATGTCACTAAAATTTCCAGCATCTTCCTCACCACTGTTATTTTAAGTATAAAATTGGCCTTACAGCTTTCTTGACTCACGGAGATTGTAAGGATAACATTACTACTCTTGTGTTACTATCATCAAAGAGTGGCAATATTCACATCTAATAACTGCACATGGGTTTTGCGTGTTTTTATAAACGGTAAGTGGTTGTTAGAGAGGCACATTTACTGTTACAACTAACTGCATTTTGAGCTATTTGCTCAGCCAAATACAGGCTTTCAACTATGTGCAGGGCAAAACACTGGCCAATAGCAACTATTGCCGAGCAAAATATAATAATCTGTAATAGACATAGAGGGATTTGAAAGGTAATGAAATATAGATTTTAAAATCCCAGAACTGAAGACAGTTCTTCATGATCTTACCAATTCTGCACAGTGGGCCGTCTGTCTGTCTACTTCTACAGGTTATTCCTTTACCATGCACCTGAGGGTCATGTCTGGGTTCTCAGCTATAGAGCTGCACTTGAGATAAGGGTAGCTGGTTATCTGCACTACAGCTTTTTTCAGTATCATCACCTTCTAAGCCATCGTACTCTGTTGTGTAAATATAAAATAATTCATTGCTCGTAACAAGAGAAGAATGGCTGTAGTAGAACAGAATGAACAACTCCATTTCCATTTTACTCAAGATTTTATCAGCTCCTTGATTTTTTTCTCCTCCAAACTGAGCAGTTCTTGCCTACTTAGCCATTTCTTGTATGGTGACACTTCCATACCCTTTGTAATCTTTGTCACTCTTTCTTCTTTTTCAGCTCTACAAGAACTTTTGTGAGACGGAGGACCAAAGTTGCACACTTTACTCTGAATGTGACTGCACTATGGATGTTTAGAGTGACATTCTGATGCTTTCTGCTTTATTCTCTGTTCTTTTGCTAATAGGTTCTAACATTCAATTAGCTTTCTTGACAGCTGGTGGGCACCAAGTATTTGAAGAACCATACAACGTAATTACAAGATTTCTTTGTTGAGCACTCTTCAGAATGCATTACTTCCCTTTACAAAAGCCATGTTGACTACACCCCAATATATCGTATTTATCCTTGTATCCACTACTTCTATTTCATCTTCCTTTGTGGACAATCCTGCATTTGGCCATACTACTATGTGTGCTGCTTAGATATGCCTGATTTACCAAGCTACACAAATTGTGTTGTACAATTACAGTGCCCCTGTTAATATTTGTCATTAACTCTTCTGTTACCAGTGACCAGGAGATACATGAGCAGCTGAACCAATAAACCCCTTGTTTCCATGATTTTCTTAATTACAGCTGAGTTCTTACATGGCTTCTCTGGGCTAAGGTCTAAGCTTATGGTTACAGCATTTTTCTCCAACAGGAATACAGAGCATAACTCTCTACCTGGCCTATTTTCATGACATTTTCAGGAATTCATTGTCTTTCAGAACACAACCACCATTTCAAATTTGTTTGGAATTGTGCAACATGCTCTGTTTAAGCATGTTTAAGGAGGAAAAAGCATTACTGCCAGAGTATGGTAGCACATGCTTCATTCCCTTAGGAAAGTAGGCTAAAAACATAACGCCTGTCTCCTTTTATAACCTTTTCCCTGACAAATGGAAGCTTGCATGATTGTACTTTAGAAGACATTCTAGGAGTACGTGGCCCTGTATGGCCTGTTTTAGTACAGGAGATTCTATGGAAGAACAGAAACCTGTAGGATTATGCTGTCGAAGGAACAACATGAAGCAGACCTGGCTGAATTGATCCGGACTAAGTTTTCTTTTAATTTTGTTTAGGAGATTTTACATTTTGTTCAGATGTATTTTAAGTCTTACATTTGAGATGCTTCTCAATAAAGGCATCGGACATCTTTATTCTCCCATTAAACACTGAGTCTGTCAAGAATTAACTTGAGACTGGCCATTCCTGTCTTTTTAAGGTGAAAGAAACATATCCTAGACCTTGTTTAGGCTTACTGAGACAAAAAAGGGTATAAAATTTATTTACATTTCCTTTGCAGTCTACCATTAAATAAGATTTGGAACCTAATATCTTTCAGTACAAGAAATTATTTCCTTGCTTTCAGGTAACTGGAAGAGAACACAAGTAAGGGACAAAAAAGTTTGGTCTTTTCCCGTGACAAAGTACTACAGTCTGTACTCTGGGCAGACGGAAAAGCAGTCCTGAAACTTGTGTTCTGTAGACTTAAGCGTTTCTGCTCAAAGAAACAAATAAACAGAAACAAATACAGAAAAAGGCAGCAAATTTCACTAAATCAAAGTCTTAAAAGATTGAATTCTCCCCTGCTGAAGCGTGTAATGTTTCTTATCCATTCAACTAGTATTATTTTTCAGGTTGCTAGAAATAGATTAATGTCTTTATTTCCTTGTGGGAATGAATAATGTTCTTTGGCTAGACTGACTGCTGAAACACTTTTTCCACTGCTCCACGCAGCCTGTGCAATAACCACAGAGCTCCTAGTCCAGCTGTAATTACCTTGAATTTGTGCTCATAATTCTCAAAAGCTTCCATGACCATGCAGACAGCCTCCATGGAGCGTTCCAGTCGTCCATCCACCCCATTAAAGCGGTACATGCTACCAGAAACATCCACCACCAGGCGCAAGCGTTTAGGTTTCTGCTGGGGGCTCCCAGGCTGAGAGGGAAACATAGCAGAAAAAAACCCAATATAAATGGGAAAACTAAACATTAGTAACGATAAAACATTTCAGAAAGACAACCCAGTGCACTTTGCGAAGCAAGAAAGTTTTATCCAGCAAACATCGAGTATTTAAAAAAAAAAAAAGAACAAAAACATTTTTAACCTTTTTCTAACTGTTTCAAACCAGTTACTTGACAGATTCTGCAATTCATTCTTTCCCCTCACCTTCAATGACTGGAAACAAAATACCTCAAAAAATTCCACACATGCTTGTCAGGAAAATACTTTTTCTGTCTCAGTTTTGATACTTAACGTTTTATTTCAGTAAAGAGACTCTCAAATTTGCTCTTTCTGCCAAGGCTCATAATGGAAATGCTTTTTCTTGGCTTATGGTACTAACAGGGACCTGTATGAGACTGTAAAAACTTGTCTGCTGAGGCTAATAACATTCCAAAAATGTCTGAAATCTTATTCTGATTAACCACTAGTTTCTTCTTCATTCTGATGCTGAAATCATTATTTTTTCCTGAAAACAATCCCCATCTGTTTTAACAATTTTTGGCACAGTGCATTCAAGGGAGGTGTTTTATTTAGTGTGCAATGAGATGAGTCTGGATTCAAGTATAAGGCTACTAAAGATGATCTGGCAAAAAAACCAGTGACATTAAAAACAAATAACTAAAATATTTCTTGTACCCGTAAAGGTTTGCAAGTATTTGTGTGCTTTATTGTTTTAATTATTCTCTTAATAGACTGTGGCATCCCTGTCCTCCCAAAAACAAAGGGAGAGAGAAGGGCCATTAAATCCTACATTTAGATAGTTTTCTGTTCAAAACTTATAGGTGTCCTTTTTTTTTTTCCTGATTGAATTATTTTTACAAAGCCTTCAAACTGATTCACTGAGTAAATACATTTTGAAAAAAAATGGGAAATGAAGATCTAATCACTTTCCCTTGTTGATCTTTCACACAGGTAGTGCCAAGTTCCATAAAGTGTTCAAAGCAACAGACATCAAGACCAAGTAGCATAAAAAAATAATATCAGGGATTCATCAGATGTGGGTAGCTGACATGCAAAAAGATGTTGTACTCAGCCATGTAAAAAAAAAAAAATCATAGTGTAGTTAAAAATTGCAATCTGTCATTAAGTATAACTGTTAAATATCATGGACTAGCCCCACCAATTTTGGCCAGGTTTTGTTGGTCTGATTCAAGTGGTTTCTCTGTTGGTGACTCACATAGGCCTAACCGTAATGTCTTCTAAGGAATGGCTGAATTGAGCCATAGGATGGACAACTTTATTGTATCTTAATGGTTTTTCCTCACACTTTTTTCCCATTTTTTTTAGTCTGGAGAAGAGGAGGCTGAGGGGAGACCTGATCGCCCTCTACAACTACCTGAAAGGAGGTTGTAGTGAGGTGGGGATTGGGCTCTTCTCCCCGGTAATTAGCGATAGGACGAGAGGAAATGGTCTCAAGTTGCGCCAGGGGAGGTTCAGGCTGGACATTAGGAAGAACTTCTTCACTGTTAGAGTCGTTAGGCATTGGAACAGGCTCCCCAGGGAGGTGGTGGAGTCATCGTCCCTGGAGATGTTCAAAAAACGTTTAGATGTGGCACTTCAAGACATGGTTTAGTGGACAGGGTGGCATCAGGTGTACGGTTGGACTTGATGATCTTTGACGTCTCTTCCAACCATAATGATTCTATGATTCTATGATTATAATTTTTATTTTTGTAAATCTAAATATCTGTGGAAGTTGAAATTCTTTGCATATCATGGAATAAAAAGAAGACATATGTAAAACACTTCTTTTTTTAAACTTCCTAGGGTATGAGGGCATTTCTTAACAAAAATTAAATTAAATTAGTGACAAAGTATTTTCCTTTTTCCTAGAAAAACAAACAAACAAAATGTTTTCTGCTAACTGCCTTCAGCTAATTAAAATACAAAGTAAGAACATAACAACTGTTGCATCGGCTCAAAACAAAGCACTGCCTAGATCAGCATCCTCTCTCTAAGAGTGGTCAATAGGAAGACTTATAAGAAGAGGTAAAGCAAATTTTCCATCCTGTGGTTGCCTCTGTATCAGGGACTTCCCAAGTAAGAGATGATTCTTCTGAGTTTCTCATCCCTACAACTCACTCAAATTCGAAACACAGATACTGTACAGCCACTATGATATCAGCAAAAAGGTTAAGCTCTTCCCCACCTTTCCCTGTTACTTGTTGGATACTTACTTGTGGCTCAAGTTCCCCTCGTCGCTTATATATGGCTTTTTCTCCTGTCAGTCCATCAATTATTTTGGCATCATCTAGCTCTCCAACAGCTTGGTGTCTCAGCCATTGTCTTTCCTTACCCTTGGCCTACAACAGAAAAGAAACTTTAATTCACTCAGTGACGTTGAGTGTATGTTAGACAATTTAAGACCTACTGAACATGACATATGCATGAATTTTCTTTATAATGATGTGATAGTTTTGGCATAAGACAAAGAAATCCAAACACACTTTCATAGCTGTCCTGTTCTTTTTCTCTGAAAGAAAAATTAACACTGGCAAAGAACATGTTCTCTCTGTAATTTTGTCTTTTTAAAGTTGTTTCATTCACGGGAGTTTAACTGTGGACAGCAGAAAAGTTAACTTTTTTTCTTGCAAATATGGTGGAAATCTGTGTAACAAGCCTGTGCAAAAATATATACAACCAGAGGGACATGCATAACTGACCATTTGTTACATGTTCTCCATCTAAGCAGCACAAGAAAAAAACTCTGGGTGACTTAAAGGTAAAACTAAGCAGTATTCGCCTTAGGTAACAGTAAGTGGTTTCTTTTAAAACAAAAACAACAATAAACTATTTTTCTATTTTAAAATAGAAACCTTGAAAATTGTGACACTCAAGACAGAGTCCACTAATTGCTGCTTTTGTTTTATTTAAAAGGACACTGGTTATCTACAGCCTGACTTGACAGACGTGTTACAATCCAGGAACTCGAATACTCATGCAACTCCTGTACACAGAAGCAAGCACTTAAGATTGAAGACTCAAGTGCTTTAATATTATAAGCAACATATTTAAGAATATTTTCAAAGGAGATCATCATGTTCACAGTACCTAAGATCCATCTAAAAACAGTAAAGTCTGCATATATCGGTTTCATGGTTTATTTAATTTCTGCTTAAATCTTCAGGCTGAAGTTGCTCATCCTAGTAGTAAGCCCAGCAAGGAAAGAAGATTTTAAATTTATAAACGTGTAATGCTTTTGCACTCTCAGCAAATTGCTGGTCAGCAGCCAGAGGAAAATCAAATATCCAGCAGGACACAAACTGCCTTAAACATTGGTTCTCAGGAATGAAAATCAGTTGACTTCTGATGAGCAGAAGTGTTACATTACAAATGTCCAGTAAACTGCAGGCCTGGGATTTGAGATGACAAATATTTATCATTTTGTACAGTCTGAGTCAGATGATGGCTTCTTAAGGCTCAGAGAATTTTTGATTTTGCCTTGGTCAAAATTTGTGAGTTTTTCTTTTTGATGTGTATGGAAGAAGGAGTTCTGGACTACTGTCTATTGCCTATCGTTACTCAAGACTAATGGTCTACTTGCCTACGAAAATAAGTGGGCAGAAAGAAAACAAAACCACAAGGAAAATGTTTTGATTAATTAATTTTACAATATAGAATTTACACAGCTGTGACAAACAGTTTTTTTAGTTGGGTAGTGTCAAAAGCTTTACAGATGCTTCCTGATGGGAGGCAAACCCAACGCCAATACATGGAAACCTCAGCCTTTTCTGTAAATCACAGAAGGGGGAAGTGGAAAAGATTTCTTAGGTTGTGAATTCAGTCAGTTGTTCCCTCTGATACATTTTCATGGTGCTACAGTCAACCTAGCTTTAACCCACTTTGGCAGTGGAGCATCCATGGGTTAGTTTGTACCACCAACTCGTAGTTTCCACTATCATTAAATATTCTTGGGAAGAAATTTGAAGTCCCATAGGATCATCTATTCCTCTGTTGCCCAAAGAGTTGTGTAACATTCCAAAAAGACACCTGCAAATTCCAGGTGATCTCTACATGCTCCACCAAAATGTCAACCTGCAGTTTTCCTGCTGTGAAAAACACAGTAGGATAATCCATGGCAAATTTCAAGAACACCCCAATTAACCATTAACAAAATACTCCTGGAGACACCATGCAGCTGAGCAAGTAGAGCCTGTCTAAAATGAGTCATGCAAATGAGATGACTGTTCCTAGTCATCTTAGCCACTATAAGTACTGGAACAGAGGTAGATCCTTAACACTTCCCAAAGGCTGTTTTGTCAAATTTTTGCCATTTGCTTCCTTTCAGTAGCCAGGAGGGACAAACAACAGAAGATTATAAAGTTTTGGCTTCACAGAGCAAATTTTCAACGAGTTTCACTACAGTTTTCATTGACAATGCTTTAGTTTTGTGGCTATTTGCTGTTCAAGGAAAAACAGTGTGAGAAGAAATTTGCTTTTAAGTATGGACATAGTTAAAAACCATTTAATAACTTCTGAAGCTTATGCAACAAAAGCCAGTATTTGAGCTGAAATTTTATGAGAGGAACACACAGTTGACATTCTTTCCTAAAATAGGAAAGAATGTCGACAAAATCTGACCTAACCTCTTTCCAAAATAATTTTAAAATTATTTAGACTACTTAGCATCTGTCTCTTCCATGCAGAATTCCTAAGAATTTATTTGCTTTCATAAAAGTCGAAAAAAAATCCCCTTAAGCATGTGTGTTATACGATGCACATATATATTACAGAAAAGCTTCAAAGCATTTTCAATATGTAATTTTCCATAAGTTTAAAAGTAACGTAAGTTTAAAAGCACTTACCATTTTAAGAGAAAAACAGAACTATTACATATATACCTTGCTTTGATATTTTACCAGAAAGGGCATACAAGCCATTACTATTGCAATATATTGCAACCATATTGTTGAAAAAATATTGCATATGTATTCATTGTATTGTTTTTGAAATCAGAAAAATGTGCTAGATACCATATCTTATGAGCATGGCAATGGCTGATCACAATACACCACTGCAGTAATCCTTTTCACTGAAAGATATCAAAGGTATATTTACAAAAAAACATGCAAAATATAACTGTGGTGTCTGTAAATACCACAGAATAAATCACGTGTGTGAAGTGATCACATCTAAATATGTAACTCGTAATGGTATAGGATGGTATGAAATACTGCCAGTTGTGGTCTGCATTTGTTTCTGGGAAAACATTATGCATACGTTCCCTTAGCTACTGAAATCACAAAACTACTACTGACAGGGCACAGGGTTTTTTGCATCGTCAGCTCTCTGAGCCATGTTTATTATAGGACTGCCACTATTTTATTCTTGCTGCTATGACCAGACAAGTTCCCACACAGTTTAAATCAGACAGAGCCCCAGCAGTCTCAATGATTCAGGCTCAGGTTTGCCCAGTTTAAATGTGGGTTATTACATGATGCTCAGAAGCTACATGGACAGTTGCCCCACATTCCCTTTGTAATAATCAATAAAAAGAGAAGTACTTTCTGGAAGGCAAGTCATCTAAAATCTAAGGCAGCCTTTCTGAGTGACTGACTGACCATAAGCTTTTGAATCTGGAGTTCAGACAGACAAGCTTTATTCAGGGTTTGGCCAGCATTAAGAGAGAGAAGAAAGTTCATAATTGACTGGATTTCCTAGACTTCTGGCTTTGCTACTTCTACATAAGACAAACAAGAACTCATAATGTTTTGTTAACATTGTTCAAAGAGCTGACAGAGATCATAGAGTTATGCAACATAAAACGAACAACGAAATTACATTCTCAGGCTGTATTTATGTATCACTTTCAAGGATCAGCCTATTCCAAACATCTCCTCCTGCTACTAATTTTTGCAAGCCATCAACAACTGGACCCAAATCCCAGCCTCTCAATTCTTGGGATGTAAAATTTAATCAAAGGAACATATTTTTAAAAAAACTCACAAACCTAACAATAAAAAGTCCTACATTGAAAAGAAAATCCAGGTTAAATAAACATGGACAAAATATTTCCATTATGTGAACACACTAAGTTTGAAACAAAGCAAACTCAAACATTTTTAAAAAGCCAAAAGTGTCCTCTACTGAAAAGATAATTTGGGATTTTCACAATGTTAAAAACACACAGACATCTGAGCGGCAAAGTTCACTGCAACTGACTCTGCCATTGACTTCTTATTTGAGAAATGAGGAATGTCTGACTGATAATAGAAAGAAAACAGTTTCAGCTGAGAGTCCATGGTGTACATAGAACTATGCAGAAAAAAGGGGAGAGAGGCATAGTCCTTCATCAGGGTTGAATGACTTACCATGCTAAAGAATTCAAATAACTTTTTTTACTTCTCAAAAAGATAACATGAAACATGCCTGGACTCAGCTTCCCAATTAACAGAAAGCATTTTGCAACTAAGTAACTCCTGTTACAATTTATCTTCCATTTTCCTAGTGCATTTTCTAATTAAAAAAATCTACCAAAATCTGTACAAAAATGTATAAAGTAAAAAATTTGCTTTCAATATTGCTCTTATTCTACAATCTAGCTTTTCCAAATTCAGTGAATTTGTTTTTTCATCACAAAGTACATTTACTAGCTGTATGATTAGCTGTCACAGATTTTGCCAGAAAGTTGGCAAAGTCTCATAAAATACTGAGGCTTGTAAGACTTTGCCTTGATATTAAAATTACCTTTTTAACAAAGCAACAGGATACATCTCCTTATATTAAAATATGTTATATTTTGATTATGATCAACGTGATCCCCGAATGCAAGAATTTTTGCTCCAAGGAATAGATAAGGCAGACTAAAAAAAGACTTTAAACTGAAGATTGACTTATTCACTTCACACCTAAAGTGTGCTTCCAACGGCATGTCTACTAGAAACGTGGTAAAAAAAGCACCTGGATATAAATGATGTAGGAAAAACTGAGATTTATATCTAAATTTTTTCAATTTTGTCTTTACAAGCCTAAAGCTTATGTCCTGAAGTGAAACACGTATTAGGTGCATGAATCCCCTAATCATGACCATCTTAAATGTTCATTACATGAGGAGTCCTCTGAATCGATACATTCATAATAAAACTGGCTAATGGTTTTCTGTGCATATATATGATTATAGTAGCACTGTTGCAGTTACAAAGGCTTAAAGATATAAGTAAGGCAAAGAAAAATGTCACCTTTCTTACTTGCAATACCAGCAGATTGGATTTTTTGACCCAGGAGGAGTCTGTCGATCATACAAAGTAATTTCCTTCTATATTTCAGTTTTATTGCTGAAGTAAGGGGACACGATTAGACACAGCACAGTGACTAGTAAACTAAGGTATATGTATACCAGTGGCTAGTAGCCTTGAATAGAAATATTTTTAATCAGAGATGTCTTATAAGGAGTAAAATTAATTTTCCTTTAATCTTCACTGAAGATTAGAAAATTCCTCCTAGAAAAAAGGCACTTTTAATTTTATTTACTGCATATATGAACAATAGTGTTAATAAAACCTGGAACAACCATAAGACCAATTACTAGAAGAAAGGCAAACTGGTGGTTTTGTTCCACTTAGGAGATTTGGGCTATACCTATTTTTATTAGTAAGAGTTAAAAACAAACCTCAGAAAAATTCATGTTTTCAGCTGCACATGCAGCAAAGCACCCAGCTGGAGTGGCTGTTTCGTTTAACATCTATAGCATTTGCACTTCTCAGCTAAAAAAAGTCTATTGGACAGGAGGTAAAGGCAAAGGCTGTGCTCTACACACCATCACATATTCTGTTAATAACGTACAGTATTTTCTTTTACAAAATTCTGCTCCTGAATAAGTAATCTCTCTAAGCTGTGGTATGGGAATACTGCAACTTGTAGAGGTGAAGACTGGGATCCACTTAAAAGCTGCCTTTGAAATAGTAATATCAGACTGTTTTTCCTAACCGTGATTATAACCTGAATCTGCTTTTAGCCCTCAATGGTATGATTGTCAGATGGTAACAAGATATTAGCAGGATAATATTTGGGGCCTAATGCAATGAGCTCACCATGTTCCTTTATCAGTGAATCTAAGATTACCTGCAGATTGTCTAAGATGATGCGGAGTGATTGAACTTGACGTCGGACTGCTCCAGAGAACCTTTCGTAAGTTGCTGCATCATATTCACTCATCTGAATCTCTTTCAATCTAAAGCAAAAAACAGGGAGATAAGAACAATTTAGGAAACAAGCACATCATCCATGTACATATGTAAATTACAAGTTTATTTACTTGGTTACAGGAAAATTCAGACTGTAATAACTACACACAAGAGACAAATCAAAGAAGTGGCAGCCACTTCTGTGAATTTTTGACAAGGTAGGTGATCACCAATGTCTACAGGGATTGCATCACATTAAAACTTATTAAAGGTACTAATCCTTTGTCTCTCTCCTAATCTGCTTTAATGTTTGGGAAGTAAATCAGATGTTCTGAAAACTGTGATCAAATTCTAAAGGTTTTATTGGTTCAGGTGTTGCTATCTGTACATAAAAGGATCATGACTGTCTATTCATTACCTCACCGTCGGAGTATTTTAAACATAGAATCACATATCACAATCCATGCTTTAACACAAAGGTTAAGTAAAGACACACTATAAAATCTGTCCTTGAAGACCTTCAACTAGTAACTCTGCCTAAAATACCTATCTTTGTGCTTCATAAAATGATGAAAGATTGAAACAAAGAAGTTTTAAATGAACATTAATAAAAATGTGCTTCCCCCCCCAAAAAAAGTCACGTCACTGAACACTATCCTGTCCAGAGGCCTAACACAGAGTGCAATATCCACACCATAAAAACCGATATATGCTTTTTCTATAAGCTAAGATGTGCCTACTTAAAGTTCTGTATCATTCTTCTCAACGTCAGAGCTAATCAGATACTTTTAAACTGCTGAAACAGACACAGAGGTCTAACGCTGAAGAATGAACTAGGGGACAGGTAGATATGCCATATGCATCATGTAGCGAGGCAGCATTTGTGTATCTGCCCACCCTACCATCCAGCACGTGGCTGGGTTCAGTCCTGAGCTAAAACTTATTGGTCTATCTGTGCATAGCTCATTTCAAACAAGCACTTCATAACAGCATAACGTCGCTCACACTGTTTTGAAAATACTGATTTTTAAACGAACTATAAATGGGTAGTAAAGTATGTATAGGCTAGTTATATTTCTAATGACAAGTTTTTTAATACCACCAAAGTATACCTTCTCCCAAGTAATGAGCGATACGACAAGAGGAAATGGCCCCAAGTTGTCCCATGGGAGGCTTAGATTGGATATTAGGAAGAATTTATTCACAGAAAGGGTTGTGAAGCATTGGAAGAGGCTGCCCAGGGAAGTGGTGGAGTCACCATCCCTGCAGGTATTTAAAAGACTTGTAGACGTGGTGCTTAGGGACACGGTTTAGTGGTGGGCTTGGCACTGCTAGGTTTACAGTTGGATTTGATAATCTTAAAGGTCCTTTCCAACCTAAATTATTCTATGATTCTAAAGTTACTTGCCTGGAACTCAGAGTATACATGAGAATTGCTGTTTAGACTAGCCCTTTAATGATAATATTAAAATCAAACATCAAATCTTTGTTGTCTTTAGTAAGACTATGTCTTTTTCTATTTTGAATTTTGCATAGACATAGTCATTATGGCCAAATATTATTCACTAGAGGCAGGAAAAGGTAACTTTCAGTGCTGTACAGTTTATTTCATGGATCCTGCCAACAGAGTTCAGTATCTTCATATCAATGAAGAAAACATTTTGTTTCCAACAAAAGAAATCTCACGTGCAGTTTTACCTTGTTAGGCTCTACATCAATCCACAGTGAAAGCTAGTTCAGAAAAATACCATGAAAAATACTGCATCTAGTCAAGAGCAGTTGTTAACTCCACTCCAGTGAAACTGAGCAATTTAAAACATTTTCCACTAGAAGTACTATGTAGCCAGGAAAGCAATCAATAGCTTTCATATTAAAATTTTGCCTTCCAGACAATCATGTATAAAGAAAGCAGTCCCCCTTATTTTTGTTCTTCAGCCTTAGGACTCCAACCTCCCTATTCTCAACTTTTACCTATTAGTTCCCCCAACTACCCAAGAGATACAGAATAATAGTCTGAAGCCACATTTGACTGGGACATTTACAGCTCGTACTGCCAGCTCACTGGTTTTAGCAGGACATGAATTCTTATCTCATGTATAGATACTCAGATTTTACAGGACACAGCTGTACTGTTTCCACAGCATGCAGGAGTATCCAGGAATTTCCCCTAGCATGAATTTTGTAAATCACCATACAAGCAGGTAGAAACTCATCAAAGCATGCCATATGTGTATATGTGCATATGCACAAAGAGATGCACAGTATCCAAGACCATACATATTGATTGTTTCTATTATGAAGCAACTGATAAGCAATTTTGAAGAATGGGGATGTAGAAAGGGTTAAGAGTAGTCCTCCCCACCTGCCCCCCAATAAAGCATCAGGAAAAATGACAAAACAAGCTCTGCCTCCCTCCTGAAAACAAAACTTTAAGGGACTATATTTCATTTAAATTTCTGAATGTTGCTTGTGTAAATTAGATCACTATTAAAAGATATTTTCTTTTCTAAATCTTCTCCTGTGAAGCACTGACATATCTACACATTTTCCTTATCTTTATTAACCACTAATGCTCCAATGGCAATGTTAAATGCTCCAGGTAATTTAGTAATAAAATCATGATTAAAAAAGAAACTTGACTTGAACGCAATAGATAAATCGCTGTTTTTAAATACAGTGATTCATGTACAGTGTGTGCTTTACGCTTAACAGTCAAATTATTTATACATCAGTTGAAGCAAATGGCAATCTCACCTGCTCTTCACAGCACCTAGATTTGGTGTCCATTGGGAACCACTTTGTGAACAGTAACAAAATGTGAGCTGATTAAGCTGTTTCTAAATTTATTTGCTCCAATGTTTTAATCTGTGTCTACTACGCTCTGTTTTCAGACAGGTACTTAGATCTGTGTCTACTATGCTCTGTTTTCAGACAGGTACTTAGATTGCAGTATGTTTTGGGCTGAAATGTAAGACTCATTTGGAACGCTTTTTTTAATGCAAAGTACCAGAGGTTGACTTGAGAGTTCAGTCAGTGGAAGAAATCTGAATCTCTGTGCACGGTCTGCGAAATAGTTGATTAGTAACCATGCATTACACTAATGCTGGGAAGATCTGGGGTTAGTATAAAAGTGTCTGCTGAGGTTTAATAGTTCAAATCATCTCACCATTTGACTACAGATCTTTCAAACAGAAGCAATTTGCTCATAATGGTCCATTTTGAAAGACATCTGTCGGGTGATGAATTCCTAACAACATATAATCTGGATTCATCACAATTCAAAGAAATCTTCATACAGTAGGTCCCTTTTTTAAAAAGATAAACATTGACATCAGTCTCCTTATCCACCTAGCTATGTTTTTACCAAGTCACACAGTCATTTTAACAATGTGGCTTAATTCAATAAAACATTCTACACATTTTGTCCAAAACAGTTAAATATGTGCTGGTAAACAATAGTGAACAGGGTAAGGCAGTTGATAAATGCAGTTAAGAAAGAAAATTTTTTTTAGCCAGCTTTTTCAAGTTCTTTTGGGAAATGGAAGAGAAAATAAAGACTTTCACATTACCTCTGTTTAAAGGCCTTTTCACCCATCTCTCGAGCAGCTCTCTTAACCTCCTCAGGAACAGCATCCTTTTCAGCTTGAGATATTTGGTAAACCCTGTGGCCAGCATCCAGTCGATAGGGACCACCTTTGCCACCTAACCCAGCAGTGTCTCTCCCACCTAACATGGTTGAGATAAAAAAAATCAAGAATACGCATTTGATAATAAATAAGAATACATTTTCTCTAATGCTTCCATTGTTACATCTACAGATGTTCCAAAAATGTTGCCAACAGTCCTCAGAGGAAATATTTATTGCCAAAGATTTTCAAAACCGAACAGCTATCATGGTAAAGAAGAACTCTGATGGAATACTTGTGTTTATAGTCCCTTGAGGCCAGATTGATAATGGTTTCCACCTTGTACAAAGGGGACGATAGACCATATAAGTCTTGTACATCTCCTCAAAGCTCCTGGTCCTTAAAGCCATTCATTCAGGCCCTGTCTTCTCCCTAGAATTTGTTAGTTTACACTGTTCCCAAATCACTTTACCTAGTGATCACTATCATGCCCCTTCAGAATTAGGAGACATTTTGCCTGTTCTGTGTGCCTCTTGCCAACTCAATTGCTGCAGCCACACACTCATCTAAGAGAACGGCAAAAGACAGCCTAGTTTCTATGGCTGCAAGCTTCTGGTTCTCTATGCGGTCAATGAAAAGAAATAATAACAAAATGTAATTGAAGTAGAGATCTGCTATACACAGTTTAAGTTAGAGACTGCAAAAAATTATTTTCACTGGCAATAAAGTAGCCCTGTATTGGGTAAAATAGCTCTAAGTAGAGGGTGGTCTTGTATAAATCCATTTTTGACTGCTGCAGCATCTTCTGTAGACATTCATCAATGCTGCATTAAAAAAAAAGAATGAAAAACCTGTTCCACCAGCCCAAGTATTTCCACCAACGTGCGGCATGTTGTCTGGATCCACTTTTCCATGTTTGGGGGAACTGACATCCAAACCACTGTCCCTCTGAATGGTTATCTGTAAAATAAAAAATAGAGCTGTAAATCTCTCTTATAGCAAGGAAAACAGCTCTAACAACCTAATAATAACATACTAGGTCGGCCGAAGAGCTGTAGGACCAGCGTTAATTCAATAAATGCAACATCCCACCTGACGAGGACAACAGGATAAAGCAGAGTAGAACAGGGCTCCTGAGTCATAGGTTAGACCCACACCAGATCTAAGACTACTACCACATCCAAATCACTCGCTACTTCAGATCTTCATATTCAGATCCTATCCACACTAGAAAAGTGCTTACTAGTAATTGCCAACATAATTCAAATCCCCTTGTAGATAGGATCATCTGCAGTTTGAACGCTTCTCATAGTATTGTACAACCATAGTACTGTATATCCATTTACAAATTTCATGCACACCCACCTACAGCTCCACATTCTTTATTGATGGGCAGATTGATCTTCCTTTTGTGAACAGGGATCACAGAAATGACATGCTTTTCTCTGAGATTCATCACTAAATGGCTAGTTCAAATTACATGCTCACGTCATCCTTAACTTCCCTGCCATGACCGCAAAAGCCTACAGTGCTGGGTTTTCTACACCTCTCTGCTGAGCGCACTTTCCCCATGAATTCACTGCACAGCTGAACACCCAACAGCTCTCAGATGGTCAGGGCTGAGTCACTGGAGGCTGGGGCTGGATTCAAGTGGGTGACTGAAGGTAAAAATACTCCTTCCCGTACTGTGAGTCACACAGTGAATCAATTATTCATGTATAAACTGCCCTTCAGTTACTCATCTTCTATAATTTAATACCACTTTATTTTTTTTTTAATGAAACTTAATGTAGAACTGATGTCTTTAACCTCTACAAATTAACTTTCTTCTCATCTACCATAATACATTCAATTCTCTGATGAACTTATGTGCCCCAACAACTACAATTTATTGCCTTCTCAGAAGTTCAATGGCATTACCAGGGTTTTCACTGGGATTGTAGAGCCGTTTAATCCTCAAAGTCACTGTCTTGCAGGCTCAACTTCATGCTGACATGAATTCCACATGTTTTTGAACTAAAAACATGTGCTCTAACGAAAGTGTCTGGGCAGCTATTCAAAACATCATTTTCTTTCTCTTTATAGAATTTATATTAATTCAAAGAGGTGTATGTATTGTACATATATCCTCTGTGAACCACATCATTAGTGTAAGATCAAGATCTAGTCTGATAAATTATATTAATTAAACATTTGTATAGGAAGAAAGACACTTAACCATAATAGCACATTACCCTCACGGATATATACTTTTTTGGTTTAAGAGATTTCCTCCAAAATAAGCAGTTCTTTTTTGCACAACTGGTAGATTTCAAAACTATCAGAAACATAGGTCAACAAAAAAAAAAAAAATCACTGAATGTACTTTAAACTAAAATCATAAAACCAAAATGGTAGTGTCAGCCTCATGAATCAAAATGAGATATTATTCTGTAAAGAGAAACAATAAAATGATGGAAAACTTTTTATATGTTCATCCGTCTGGGTTCTTAATAGAAAAATACTCAAAATTCTGCAAAAGGAAGCTCTATGAGGCAAACATAACCATAATCAGTGATGCAAATGCCATGTTCTATTTTTGTTAAATTTGTCCATTGAAAATTTTCACTAAATATTTTGAAATACAAGTATTGTTTAAATTTTAAGTGAAAAGTTCTGCAGACAAAAAGAGCTTTGTTGCACATGTATATTTTTCACCTATAATAAGTTGTTCACAAATAGTATTTCTAGTACATATGCACTAGACAAGTTTCTAATATAAACCTATTTTACAACAGCGACCTGATTAAAGCAGGTATTCATAACTTTGAAACAGGACATAGTTAATAGAAAATCTTTTATTTTATACTGATTTGTGGCTACTTATTCTAGAAAGGACAGTAGAACATCAATATTTGATTTCTTTTAAAACTCTGAAAAAAATTGCTTGAGAGAGACAAAAAGAGACAAGTGGTACAATCGATCATATCTTAAGAATGTTACTGATTTTTTTATCCATAGTTAGTAGGTTACTGGGTAAAATAACTGAAAATTTAAGGATACTGGAATGGAACACCACCAGCAGATGTGTAAATGTCATGCCAGTGAACCACAGCAGTTTCATTCATTTACTTGTTTTTTAAGTAATATCTATGCATGCAAAAGGTAGTAGAATTTTGCTACATCTGAATACTTTAACAACCAATTTTTATTAGTGCTGATTTGCTGGGGTAATTTTTTTTTAAATTTACCATACACTTAGAAATTGTGTTAAATTAGCACACTGTAGAGCCCTTTGAAGAGAATCTTCTAGATGTACTTTCTTGGCTTTTCTTTGATCTCTTTAGGTAATCCCATTAGTGACTTATCAGGCTTTTCTCCTTCTCATCCCTGTCTCTATGGAACTGTTGCAAGGCAATTTTACAACTAACAACTTCTCTCTGCTCTGAAGGCGCCTCTATAAAGTAAAAGTTAGACTAGTAACTAATTAGATTAGAATTGAAAATTTATTTTAGAAAGAAGTAAACAGTAAATGACTGAGTCTGGACATGAAATCAAAGGCAGGATGAGGAAAAAACTGAAAAGAAAAACTTTTGGACAATGCTAAGTTCTTCAGCGTGACAGATATAAAGAGATGGAAGAGCCACAGATAAGTCACTCTGAGGGCTGAAGGAATTCTTGACATAGGAAACTATTGGAAAGGTAGATTTAAGGGGGAGGATCCAAAACTGGATGTATTATGAACCTGACAAACTGAAAGACAGTCAGTGGGAAAAATCTGGTCTGTCTGCAGTGAGAAGGAAGAAAAACAAGTACTGAAAGTAGAGAAAAAGCTCAAACAAATCTAAGAAATCCACAGTAACTTTTCCAAGCTTCTCCAATTGGAATTTCTAAACCTACTGAGATTTCTCTTACTGTTGTGATGGACATTTTCCAAATACATAAATAATTTGCTTTCTCAAAAGTTGATCTGACCCCTCCTGAATACTTTCCTTCTGAATCTATTGCAATACTTCTATCAACTTTGTTTCTTCCAGTGATAGTTTTGACTAAGCGTCTCTTTTTGAGATAAATCTGTGCTCTTCGTAGCTATACATGCACTGAAAGGCGCTATTCATTACTGCATTACTGTGAAGATTCCATACTGCCTGGTGTGCATATCACAGCTTTGTAAAACAACAGACGAATTCAGTCTAGTAGCCTTCAGTTTCAGCTATGAGGTATGGGTCAGAGTAGAATAGCTAGAGAAACTGTGAAATTTTCCTTCTGAGACTTCCTTTCGATTTCCAAAATAGCCACTATTTCCAAAACACTCACGGCACACAAGTTTCAATTGTGCGTTATCTAGACTTGCTTATGCATATTGATGATTCATGATCAGACCATGAAAGCACTTCTCCACTGCCTGTTCAGGCAGGTTCTTCTTCAAAGTCTTCACCACACAAGAACAACAACTGCCATCCTCTCCTGGGATACATGGGATTCTTATTTTATTCTCTATAGAGTCCAAATTCTCAGTAATCATAAATGATCTTAGTCTCTGGTTTAAAATCTTCTTACTCTCTTCTTTTCTTTGACTGTACTATGTTCTCAGGCACTTACACCAACGGGTAATGGGTACATTTGAAAGGACTTTGTGGATGGAGGCTCTGTAGGTCTTCCAAAGTCAATGAAGGAAACATACAAAAATTTTAGGCAAGAAGAACATGAAAACTACAGGTCAGAAAGATGCTAAAGGAATGTGCTTTTCCGAAGGGGCAATGGTATGAAAGAAGCACTTGAGAAAAAAGGAAATGAAGAAACGACACCAAATACCAAGACTTGTTAACGCTTTGACTTAATTTTCTGGTCTTGCCTCTTACACATCCATTCACTCCCAACAGTGAGGGTAGCCAGGCAGGAATAGAACTAAATGCTCATTTTTACATTCAATGAGAGATACTCGGTATCTGAACAACTCACTGTGTATCAGTTCCTTCTGAGGTACATGAATGGATGCCAAAACAGTTTTACAAGACTACACTTCATTTTTTTTTTTTTTTTCTGACAACACTGGGATTCTAAGAGCGAACTGAATAAGGGGAACTGATACAAACACACTCAGTTTGGAAACTAAATGATCTTATCATCCTTCATATAGTAATGTAAAGAAGACAGACGCTCAAAGAAGCTAGTTACATCATTTAATGCACTCAACAGCACAAAGAAACCAGATGTTTCATATCTGTGTCACATTTATGCCAAATAGCTATTAAATGCATACCAATCTGTAACAGGGCCCACTCTGAAGATGAGTCAAAGGCTGGTAGTTTTGTCTAGACTTCAACTGGTCAGGCAAACTATGGTAAAGGAACTTTATATTGTGTACTAACCAAATCTTAACCATGATTGGAAGTCGATCTAGAACCCCATTCACGCCACTTAAGTGAATGTGGGATTGAATTCTATTGAATTCTGATGTGAAATCATCTAATTTAATAAAATTAATCCCTGGAGAGTAAGAAAGCACTGGCATATATCACATTTCGACACTTTTATCATCCCTCAGTAAAAGACAGGAGCTGAATTTGTTGAGGATCACACAGCTGACCCAGATACACCATGCATTGCCTCTACAAGACACTGTCACAACTATGGGAAGAAAGGAGCTTGCAATAACCCATTAATAAAAGTGTGTGAATTATGGAGAGGGCTGCTGCACTCTATTATTAAAATTATTTAAGTCCCACACTCATATCAGTATCTCATTCTATTATATGAGCTTTTTTCACAGTTACAGTACTTGCCTTTTGAGCTCAGAATTCATTTTATTCTAACATACTGCAAACAAATCTCTCTGGCTCTATGAGTAAAACTCACCAAAAGCATTATCAAATTTAGCTTCAGTTAATTTCGTACAAGTGAGTTTAACAATATTTTAGCACCCAGTAATGTTAATCATACATTGCAACGAAACTGAGAAAAAAAAGTCTTTAAAAAGA